GTAAAGGGAGTTTTCAAAGGCTTCCAGCTGGAAGACCTCAGTGGACTCCAGACCCTCCAAAACTCTTAGCAGTCATTATGAATGAGAAGTTTCTAGTTTTTATTTTTAGGTGCTGAGGATCAAAGCTAGGACCTTGCACATGGTAGGCAAGCACTTTGCCACTGTGTTACATTCCTAGATCAAGCAGTTTATTTTAAAATTTAAACTATTTGGTGGCACTAATGTGATAATTCAGTGTACATAACAATAAAAAAAAAGAGGCAATGCAATCTGTAAGAAATAGCTTTTTACTATGTCCTTCATTTGTAAAGAATAAAATTGTTTTTATACTACAAACTTTGGGAGGGGAGAGGTTGAGACCAGATCTTGCTATGTAGCCCAGGCTGGCCTGGAATTTGTAATCCCTTGGCCTCAGTCTCCTGAGTTCTAGGATTATAGGTGTGCACCACCACCCGCAGCTGTAAAGTATAGATTTTAAAGGTTTACCTCTGTGCAGGTACTTTCACATTTTTTCCCCAGGTTCTGGGGCTCAAACCTAGGACCTTGAACATGCTAGGCAAGTGCTATACCTTGAGCTACATCCCCTTCCCTTCCTTTCCGTTCCCTTTCCACGTCTCTTTAGAATACAGAGCTTGAGGGAGGCACTTTTATAGAGGAAGCAGTGGGAAAGAGACAAGATTTCTGCAAGGCTGAGGCCAGAGCATCACAAGTTCAAGCCCAGTGTGGGCAAAATAGTGACAGCGTGACCCTGTTTCAAAATAAAAAAAGCTGGGGATGTAACTCTGTGAAGGCCTGGGTTTATTTCCTAGTACAAGAAAAAGAAAAGGCTAAGGAGGAAACCAGAGTGAAACAGGTATGGACAACTCTTTCAGCTGGTGAGAGGCCAACTATGCATGCCAAAGGCCTGGCCCATGGCACCCAGGCAGAAGGAGATGGTGTAACTACTCAGTGCTGAAGATCACACACACTTGGGATGAGCTCCAGGACCGGGAGGAGGCCTCTGACCAGGAGACAAGGCCACAGGGTCACAGGCAGAGACTGTTGCATTGCTGAGGACAGACCTGAGTTTGGGGCCTGCATGGCTTGCAGGCCCAAGAAGTGCCAACGAGCTCGTGGAGCTAGATATACAGTTCTTGGGTCCTAAAGCATTGCTTTTCTGGTTTTTTATTTCAAGAATCCCCCCCCCCCCAAAAAAAAGAATTTTCCCAATATTTGACTCAGCTTGATATTTTCCTCTCCAGAAACAGACCTCCAGGGCAGGGGTGATGGAGTCTCTGTAGGGGTTTCTTCCTAGGAATTCCCAAGGGGCTGGGCTGGGCAGTGGCAGCTTTGTGGCAGAACTCTTGCTTAGCAAGGGCAAGCACAAGCATGTGGGTTTAAGACCCAGCACACACAGCAAAGCCCCCGCCCCGCCAGTCCATCAGAACCCCCATCTGAGCTGGGCGTGGTGCTCATGCACAGGGAACCCTGCTGCTCTGGAGGCTGAAGCAGAAAACTCAGCAAGACCCCTTCTCAAAACAGAAAGCAAGCCGGGCGTGGTGGCACACACCTGTAATCCCAGCACTCGGGAGGCTGAGGCAAGGGGATCGTTTCGAGTTCGAGACCAGGGCCAGCCTGAACTGCATAATGAGACCCTGTCTCAAAGAAACAAAAACAAACAAACAAAAACAAAACAAAAAACAACCCACAAAGCAAACAGGTTGCCGGGTGGTAGAGCCTAGCAGGTCCAATAACCAGCTCCACAAACAGAACAAAAACTCAAAAAGAAAAACAAAAGCTGTTTTTGGTGGGACCTGATTTGTCTGTATTGGAGATTAAAGCAGGTCCATGGAACTGAGCTACATGTGTTTATGTGTGTGCGCGTGTTTGAGACAGGGTCTCAATATGTGGCCCAGGCTGGCTTCTAAGTTGTGGTGATCGTTCTCCCTCAGCCTCCTGAGTGCTGGGATTACAGGCCTGCACCACCACACAGGGCCCCCTCACTCTTCTTTTTGTTTATTATTTATTTTTTGTTTTTTTCCGGTGTCGGGAATCGAACTCACGACGTCGCGCTTGCCAGGCAGGCGCTGTGCCGCTGAGCTAAATCCCCAGCCCCTCACTCCTCTTTTTGAAACGAATTCTTATTAAATCGCTAGGCTGCCGAAACAGGGTTTAACTTTGGATTCCTCTTGCCTCAGCCTGTGAATGCTGGGATTATAGGTGTGCACTACCACGCATGGCTTTGTTCTGTAATTACACAATAAATTACTTAACAGTTTCCCCAAGACCATTTATTTCTGGAATCCTATTCCCATACTGCCCATTCCGTTCCCAAAGTCAGTTTGTCACTTGACAAAGCTGCTCCCTCAGGGTCCCCACAGTGCACTCATGACCCACCGCAATCAGGGCTCAATTTTCAAATTGTAGTTTTTAGACATGGCCTCACTGTGCAGTCCAAACTGGTCTCCAAAGTATGGGGAGCTTCCTGCCTCTGCCTCTGGATTGCTGGGATGAAAAGCGTGGGCCACCACACCCAGTCTTTCTGATTTATTTTATTTTTTTCTGATTTTAAAACTATTTTCACTGAGGAAGTTCTTTAGGCAACACGCAGATGTTAAAGAGAGGTTTCGTGGAGACTGCACGATTTCCTTGACACAGATAAAGAATAAAGCCCTCGCCGGGTGTGGTGGTGGCACAAGCCTGTAATCCCAGCACTCGGGAGGCTGAGGCAGAAGGATGGTTCCAAGTCTAGGCCAGCCTGGGCTACAAAGTGACCTCAAGGCCAGCCTGAACTGCCATAGTGAGACCCCGTCTCAAAACAACAAAAGACAAAAAAAAAAAAAAAAAATCAAAAAACAACTAAGGCTCTTGGGTGCATCGGTGTGGCCCTGGGGTTCACTGCTATGTTTTTTTCTGTTTTTGTTTTTGTCTTTTTGAGACAGGGGCTCGCTATGCAGTTCAGGCTGGCCCTGAGCTCACTTTGTAGGCCAGGCTGGTCTCGAATTCGCAACAATCCTCCTGCCTCAGCCTCCTGGATGTTGGGATTACGGGCGTGCTAGCTGCTGTAGGTTTAAAGGAACGGAGGAGTTAAAAAGGCGTCAATCAGCTTCCCGGGAGAAAACAGTGAAGAGGTTTGGTAACACATTTGAACAAACAGCGGAAACTGCAATTATGGGCAGGTGTTCGGTGACAACAGCTGCCGTTGTCGGGCCCAGCGGGGACGGAGCTCCTCCGGCTCACCTCACCGATTCAGAGCTCTGCGTGAACAATGAGCGCTGTCGGGAACAGAGCGCTCAGCTACGCCCCGGGGCCCGGCTGAGGAGGGAGACGCAAAACGCTGCCCCGCCTCGGCCCGGCCGCCCCCGCGACACCCTCTGGCGGGCTCCCCTCCCCCCAGGGACACCGCCCTCGCCCGCGGCGTCCTCAGCGTTTGGTTCCCGGATCCGTGCGGCGCCCAACGTCCTCCATGACGTCCTCGACGACTCTCCTCCCCCACACAGCGGGCCGCACCACGCCTGCGCCGCCCTCAACACCCATCCAGCCCCGCCCCATTCTGTGATGACCAATCCTAGGCCTCGACCTGGGGACGTCGCATTGGTGCCCTCGCAACCCGGACCCACTGTCTGCGCCTCCTAAAGTCTGTCCCGCTGCGTCGTCCTGAGGAATGTGACATTCGGGGAAGGCCAGCCGCGGTCACATCGGCAATGGCGAGGGTCAGGGAAAAGGGTACCATTACTGCTATTCCAGGTATCCGGGACGCGGGGCCGGAAGGCTTGTGCCGGAAGTGCCGCGAGTGGCGGCGGACGTCCCGCCCCTTGCACCCTGCCATGCTTTCCATGGTAACGGTAAACAAAGCTTGACTGCGGTGCTTCAGTCGCCATGGGTCTCCGGGGGCCGCCCGCGGCTGCGCGGAGACTTGGATCTCCAGGTGAGGAGCAGCTGGTGCACCGAGGTGGAATTACGCATCCGAGGTGGAGTCGAACCTGAGCATCCCGGGTGGCAGCGCGGGGCTAGGGTTTAGGGTCCGGGATGCGGGATCCGAGATCCAGGGCCGCACCTCAGCGGTACTGGGGACTAGAATCTAGGGGTTGGACTCAGGGCCAGAGCCAACTAAGGTTGGCCTTAGTAAAGAAAGGGGCTATCTCACCCTAGAGAGATCGAGCAGTCGGAACTAGAAGAGGCCTTTTTTTTTTTTTGCATTTTTGAGGTAGGCTCTCGCAATGTAGTTCAGGCTGGCCTTAAACTTACTCTGTAGCCCAGGCTGGTCTCGAACTCGCGACGATCCTCCTGTCTCAGCCTCCCGAGTCCTGTGATTACCGGAGTGCACCACCATGCTGAACTCAGAAAAAACCGTTTTTGAGGATGAGCAGAAGTCTCAGATCAGGGGTGTTGTAGGAGGACTTGGATGACAGGGCTGCACCTATCTGCAGGGCCTCCCTCACTATAGTGACTGAGTTGGGATGAGAAAATAGGCTTTTTTAAGGAAAGCGCCTCAAAATATAAAATAGAAAAAGGATTGGGGATGTAGCTCAATGCAAGACCCTTGGTTCAATTTCCAATACCAAAAAAAAAGGTTCTTTTCAGTTTTGCTTTTTGAGGCAGTACACATGGATACGTCAAAAACGTATCAGGTTTTATTACTCAGAATTTTTCATCTTGTGCTCATTTCCTGCTTCCTGAGGAAATGAGCACAATTTAAAAGCCTTTGAACTTTCATCTCTAAAAGCTTTATTTCTTCCTCTTTTTTAAAAAAAACTTAAATTTATTGGTACAAGTTAGGTCTATACAATGGTCACATTCATCATAGAGAATTTGTACCTGTACATGTATACTTTGTCTTTTCCCCTTCTCATTCCCCTCCCTTCTCTTCCGCTTATTTACAAAGCTTTGTTTCCATTTTATCCTGTATTTCTTCCTTTTTTTTTGTCTTTCTGAGACAGGGTCTTGCTGTGCAGTTCAGGCTGATCTTGAGCTCACTGTGTAGCCCAGGCTGGTCTCGAACTCGCAGCAGTCCTCCTGCCTCAGCTCCTAAGTGCAGGGATTACAGGTGTGTGCCACCACGCCCGGCTTATTTCTTCCTCTTATGTCAGGTTCTTTACCCTGTCCTCTTTGTTCAACAGCTTCACTGAATTTGTATGTTGTATTTGGGTCTGACGTATGTCCTTGTTGATTTTCTTTGCTTCCTGGCCTGCTCTGCGGCATGTGTTTGGTGCATTCAACCGTTTGGTTTTCTTTCCCTTTTTCTCTTACTCATACCTTTAAATACAATTTGTACTGATTAGTCTTGAAAAATCATCTCAGAAGAACCCAAAAAAGGTCAGGGCTTTTTCTCAGGCTCTATGTATTATCTTTATGATCCATTTCTAAAATTTTTGGTTTCCCCCCCCCTCCGCCCCCGCCCCGTACCGAGAATCAAACTCACGACCTTGTGCTTGTCAGGCAAACGCTGTGCTGCTGAGCTAAATCCCCAGCCCCATTTCTAAAATTTTAGGTTTTTGTGGTACTGGGAATAGAAACTAGGGCCTTCATACTGCACTACTGTACATTTGCAGCCCTTCTGTGTTTTATGTATTTTTTGAGACAGGGTCCTGCTAAGTTGGCGAGGCTGGTCTTGAACTTATGATCCTGCTTCAGCCTCTCAGCATGCTAGGATTTCAGGTTTGGGCCACTACACTTGGCTATTACCAGCATTTATTGTGGCTGGGTTGTGCAGTACTATGTGGTGGAGTGCATAGGTGATGATGAAATGCTGTGTAGGGGAGAGTGTAATGCTGTGTACCTTGGATGGTTGGTAAAGAAGGATTTAAACTGGGTCAGGAGGTGCACGCCTGTAATCTCAGCACATGAGAGGCTGAGGCAGGAGGGTCACTGAAAATTCAAGGCCAGCCTGGGCTACAGAGTGAGCCTATGTCTGAGTCTTAAAAAGAGAGGGGATTGAGCTGGGCATGGTGCTGCATGCCTGTAATCCCAGCACTCGGAAGGCTGAGGCAGGAGGATTGTTGAGAGTTCGAGACCAGCCTGGGCTACAAAGTGAGCTCAAGGCCAGCGTGAACTGCATAGTGAGACCCTGTCTCAAAAA